AAAAAGTAGCTTAAACTTATGATGGATGAATTGCACAACTTAGTCTTTTACATAATTTGAGGCGTCTGTCCTCTGAAAACTTTTGTCCAATTACTCACCATTGAATTTTGTTTTTTTCCTTTGTTTTCTTTTCCCTTTTTTCCACAGCAAATGAAGGAATACTAATGTGAAGTTTAACTAATAGGTGAGTTACCTTCAGTATGCCGCAGTGAGTCGCTCAGTAATTGGGTGGCGTCAGTCAGGCTGGAAACTCTCTGCTCCACAGATAATAGACGATTAGATGTGTCTGTGTCTGAACCAGCAGAAAGTAGAAAATACATTTTAAAACCCCCCATTAAGTTTAACCTCACAGATCTGGTCTGTGAACCAGTTTGTGTAATTCTGGTTTAAGTTATATTCTTTGGTTTATTGTTTTTCATGTTTTTGGCTCTCCTTTGCTTTTAGGTCCTAGTTTCTAGTTGCCTTCCCCGTGTTCCACGTTTAGTTACTTTGTCTCCTGTTTCATGTTCCCTCTGTTCCGCTGGTCAGTCATGTCTTCATGTCACAGTGTAAAGTTTGTGTCTTTGTGAAGGTCTCATGTTTCCTGTTTTATTTTGAAAAATTCAGTTCATTCAGTTTTGCTTCCTCCCCATCTCGTTATCTCAGATTAGTCCCAGCTGTGTTTCCCTCCTGTTTCGTGTTCCCTTGTTGGTCCCTTGTGTATTTAAGCCCTGTGTTTCCCTCTGTCCGTTGTTGTGTCCTACCACCCAAAGTGCTGCAACTTTCTCAATCTGGTTTCTATCATTCATAGTTCTGTGCTCCTCATTTCCTACTGTTACTAGTTTCTCAGTTATTAGCTCTCAGTTTTCATGTTCAAGTTATTTTATGGAGGATTTTTCCAAGCGGATAAAGCTGCTGCTTTAAGTTCACATTCAGTGTACGAGTCCTGCAATTGGGTCCTTCATCCTTCCTGCCACACAGCCACACATGAATCTTTCGAAATGGGAAATTTTATTGAACATTATGAGTTTTAATTTATATCATTTATATCAATTTTGCTACTTCTGACATTTTTTTGTTAAATTTGTGGCTCACTGTAGCACTGTGTGTGTGTGTGTGTGTCTGTCTTTGTGACTGAATGAACAGACAACAGAAAGTACAGATAAATGTAACATAGTCTGTAGCACAAGTTGAGATAAGCTAGGATATACGTATCTGAAAAGTAAATTATTGTTACTGAAGACAAAATATTATGTTCTGTTTGACTGAAATGTGTTAAAAACCAAAACACACATTTATTATTTTTATGTTTTCATGTGTAGTCAAATTTGCTCTGATCATACATACATACATACATGTTGTTACCTTGAATATGCTTCAGTGAGTCATTCAGTAACTGGATGACATCAATCAGGTTGAAAACTCTCTGCTCCACAAATGATAGACGATTTGACGTGTTTACCTCTGAACAAAAACAAACAAACAAACACAAAAACAACATTGTGTTCAACCCTGCAAAGTCTGAACCGTGAAATAAAAACTGACAGAAAATGCTTTTAAAAGTGGAATACTTATTGAACATTCTGAAAAATCCATACCTCTGTATCAATATGATAGAGGGGCATGAAAGGGTTAAAACATTTACTACCATCAAATGATGTCTTTTGTATTTACTGCTATGAAGTGAACCCTGGGCCTCACAGCAGAAAACTATTGCCAACATTTAACATAAAAGAAATATTTGTGTGGGCTCTGTGCTCAGAATCACTAGGGCCGCGGCCATCAGAGCAGGAGGGTAACCTACTTTTAATATTTTATATTATAATATTTTATTTTTATATTTAATATTTTATCATAGCTAATAGGTGTGTTACCTTGAACCTGAGGCACTGAGGAATGCAGCGACTGGAAGACGTCCTTCTGGTTGGAAAGTCTCTGCTCCAAAAACCACAGGTGATTTGACACCTTTATGTCTGAACAAGCAGACAACAAAAACACAAAGAAAATTAACAGAGTGTGCATAACATAACATGTTAACATAAAACATAACACATAACACACAACATAACATAACATAACATAACATAACACAACATAACATGTACTCACCCAAAATGCTGGAAAATTTTGTTACTGAAAACAAAATTTTAACATTAAGGGAAAAAATCTCAAAGTACTAAAAAGGTAAAGTTTTTTTATTTTATTTTTGCTCTATAAATAAAGGTTATAAATATAAATGTCAAGTAAAATCTAAATGCACTACAATAATATACAAAAATAATAAATGAATAAAATAAAATAAAGTAAATGTGTTCAATATAACACAACACAATAAAGTCGAATGAAAATAAATGACAATATAACTGAGAATTGCAGCCCTAAAGTGAAAACGCGGAAAAAAGTTTTAACGATCATCACTTATTGGCTGTCATGTTGGACCAAAATTTTCTTCAAGTCTTCTACAAGATAAAGTCTGAGAGTTAGCTTTAGCTAAGTTTTACTGTCACTACATTTCTGTTAGCTTTATGTGCAGTCACAGTGGTCTGTTTTTTCTTTTCTAGCAGCTATAAACCAAACGTATGGTAT